ACCACCCCTTTATTGAATTAAAGGTCCCAAGTAAAACCAATTACCTCACTCAGAGCCTAGCACTCGCATATCTCTCCACGAGCTCCCTGACAGTAGGACCATGCCCAGCCTGAAACAGTTGCCTCCTCCACCCTGACACCTCAAAGACCCAGCAGAGCTCCAAATCCTCTTCTCTGTAGCACAGTCCTGACAAATATTTTAATTGGGTATTGGATGAGACCAGTGTGCACATCCTGGTGCAAACAGCTGTTGCCCATGGTTGCAGGAGCACGTGGGTATTGCTAGTCAAGGAAAAGAGGCTATTGGGGTCTTTGCTTCATCTCAGTCACAGGACCTGAAGAAGACTTTCTTAAAGGCACCCCATCTGTCACACATGCTGCAGCTGACACCTGAGTCAGGGATTTATGCAATTTACGTAATTTATTATTGTAATTTATGCTGAGTGACGAGGCAGGGACAGGTACACAGATCCCATGCTTCATGCCAGAGCCAGGATGCCTTTTGTGGAGACACTGTAGCTTATTAGGCAGAAACAACTTAGTAGAGGGGGGGAAGAGGAGAGGCTGTGCTGCCAAGGAGGAGGAACAACAAGCTGCTAACTGGGGGTGAGGGGAGAACAGAGCAGATGCCGATATATTATCCTGGTCATTGGTCCTACAGGTATTGGGCTGGCAAAAACTGCAAGGGATGCACTTGGACATTTCCTGCCATTTTTAAATAAACCAAATTAGCATGTGTTGCTTGTGAGTTTATGCTCAGTGCTTGTTTAGTTGGGTTTTTCTTTTCATATATGATCATAGAATGGTTGGGGTTGGAAGGAACCTTAAAGATCATCTAGTTCCAACACGGGCATGTTTGTTTGTGTTATTTTGTTTTCATTAATAAGAAAGAAATCACTCAGAAGCTTGACTAGGCTTGCTCACATGTAGTTACATTTAGCTGTAATCTGCCTGGTCAGTTGTAGGAGAAATAGCACTAGTTTGAACTGGATTGAGTAGCAAGGAGACTTTAATTTGGGGCAGCAGAGAGAAAATTGTATAACACTGTTGGGCTGTCCTGAGTGGGAGAACAATCCAGTGAATTGCATGATTTTTCCGTCTTTGTAATCAGTTTGTTATGCAGAGAGCAGTGCCGTGGGATTCAGCATTTTATCTGCTGGGCTTTCCCTGGCAGCATCTGAAGACATTCATTATAAGTGTTTATCACATGATCCACTTAATCAAACCACTGAAACTTGGAGAATAAGTCATTCTAACAAGACTCTTCAGAGCTGCCTTATAAGCTACTTACTGATATACTCTTCCTTGGTGAGTGTACAATGAGTTTCCTTGTATCCCGGTCTATGATACAGGAAGTTCATTATCCCCAGTCCGAATTCAGACATAAAAAAAGGAAGCAGGTCTTACAAAGAAGTGACAGATAATTTGCAAAGGATTTTAGTTAGCCACTCAAATCCCAGATAGAGTCAGACTGTAAGCTCTTCATAAGAACAGCCTTCTGGTATTCAGCATTAGACATGAGGCAGCTATCTACATAGCTGTTTCTAATGTTGTAAAACACAGACAACACATGAAAAAATATTTTCTTCTTTTGATTACAGGTGTCCTAGTGGAAGCATGTGAGAAAAAAGAGAAATCAGAACTGAAACCATGTTTTTGATGGGGTAATAGCACTGCATGATAGTCAATGCTGATAACTGAACTGATGCAAAATGCCATGAAAGCCTGCAAAATCCAGCTTGCGCTAAGGTTTTGAGACACTGAGACTTGTCTGACAAGCTCAGAGCTTGCAGACATGCTGTTTGCAACCTGTGTTTGTACACTGTACGTCTGGTAGGATAAAGTGCGTTTCCCTGTTATGTACCTAAGAAATGTTCTGGCTGTAGGGAGCAGGTAGGTTGGGGCATTAATTTTACTGAGCTCTGTCACATGCAATGTGACACCAGATTTTCTGGCTCTCACTGTATATTTCACCAATGCTGTTTCACAGGTAGTGTCTCATAAAGGCTTGTCTTCTTGCTACCTGCTGAAGACAAGTTTGGATATCACCACAGATGTAGGCTTTGGGCCAGTCTTAATGTAGAAATGCCCTGGATAATTTTCCAAAGCACCACCTTTGTCTCCATATGATAGCGCTGCTCAGCTACACCTCCCAAACTCTTCACAAAATGTGAAGGCAGTACAGGCAGTACACACAAGACCCAATATTGATTTTGTGTAGGGTTGCACAGGCTGAGTCTGATGTGGGCCTCCAGATTAACATTTTTTTTTTGTATTGAAAATTGCCCTTAGGGCAAAGAGCATTGGGCAGTTCAAAACAAGCTACTCTGTAAGACATCAATACCAGGGAAGTGTGCAGAACTGAGAAATATGGGCAACAGAAAAACCCTATGCTTGTTTGATGGGGATGATGCATTTTGTCTAGTATAGCTCCAGTAAAGCAAGTCCCAAAATTGACACCATTGTCTGGGCACTGCTTTGAGGGAACAGTGAAACCTGTCTCTCCACTGCTGATGTCCATGCAGCCCAGGGCTTTAAAATTCAACCTGTTAATTTCTCCTGGGAGTAATTAACTCCAGCCTGGAGTGAGCAAAGAGTCTTGACTACATCAGTCAACAGATGTGAGGATTTGAGATGTGCCATTTTCATTCACTGTGTTAGAGGAAACCTCTTTGTTTTCCATGTACTGTGTACCTGTCTGTCTTTTCTTGATACAGCTGTCAGTCTCTTGACTGCTGATATACCAATATATCAAATTGTCATTAGTATGGCTGTGTCCTCAGGAGGGACTGTGATGCTTTAGAAGGTTGGTTTCCAACTAATAAGTTAAAAAGCCTGGAGGAAAATACTGTTTTTCTATCTTTTCGCTCTTCATTTTAAAAATAGTAAATGCTAAATTATTTTACCTCTTTTAAAATAAAGCATGGCACCAAAAGAGATGAATCTATGCTAGCTTACTAGTTTTGCTACTTCAGTCAGTTTTATTACAGTACGATTCCTTTCCTCTTTTCTCACTTCTTTATTATACTCTGTCTTCTGAGTTGCTATTGTGCCTATTTAAAGAGCCCCCCTTCATCTTTCTTTTGGGACAGTCTTACTGCTGGCTTTTTGCTGTTTTAGCTTCTATGCAGCTGGTGCTTCAAGAAAAAACTGTATCTTGTAAGGCTGGGAGAAGAATGGACCCATAAAAATAAATATTTTTTTGTATGTATGTAGTTCTTTAATCAGTAAGTCTTCAACAACCTTACCTAAAACAGCCACTTTGCTATGTCGCAGCTTCTTAGGTAAGGAGACTGGAACAGAGTGAGTGGGTAACTTTCTGCTGTCTGCAGCAATGCAGTAGTAAGGTGGAGAATAAAACTTCTGTTTTCCAAACGTTCCATGGCTCTGTGCATGGGGAAGGCCAGTACTGAGCATCTGGAATCATTGCTGGTAGGGATATTTTTAGTCTGCTGTAAAGAGAAATGGTCAGTTGTCCACTGCGTGCTGTTTGTTTGGCATTCAGGAACCATTAGAGCCTGTATCATGCTGAGGCTGGATCTCAGTGTCTCTGTACAGCCTGCTAGGAGGGAAGATCTGGGAGAAAGACTCTGGCAGGTGCATCTGGCCACGTGCATTTGCACATGTGTGGGGTGCACACAACGCCCACTGAGAATGGATACTTACTACCAGATACTAACCAGACTGGGTTTGGCCAGTGCCAAGCTGGGCTAAATTCTCTCTCCCACCTTAAAGATGAAAGATTCTTTAATGCACTCACCGCTCTTGGGCCATTCCACTCAATCCCCAGTAATGTTATCTGTTTAGAAGTCTTTCTCACTGAATTTCTTCTTTTGAAGACTGCAGGGTTTCTAAGAGTGGACTGCAGCACCTGCTCCTTGCTGGAAATCTCGAGACTGGCACTTGCAGTGCCTAACATGCCAGTCACAAAGCATCACATTTACTAGACTTTCACTGGGTGTAGCTGATGAAAAACGGAACAGACATGTTGTAAGGACTGTCAGCCTAAGTAAAGGAAGGTTGCTTTGAATAAAGCCCCCAAGATAGTATTTCCAGAATATACTTCTTTAGAAAAAAAAGTGGAAAATCCAAAGAATGAAATTCAGCCAGAATGAGCTCACTGCAGGTGGTGCTGGTCATGATTTTTTTAAAATCAATTTTAGTTATTTTAGTAGTTGTTTTTTTGTCTAGTGTCTGCCATTACAGTACCTTTTTCTGCAGCCCCAGAAAACCCACACTTGTGTGGTGCTCTGGAGCTTTCCCACAGCATATACTTCCCCATTCTTAGAAGGCTGGTATGAGTCAAACAGAGAGGACTTCACCTGCCCAACCAGCAACTAGGTACTGGGAAGTTGCCTACACCCTGGCAGATGCCTCTTCCTCAGCAGTCAGCCCTGCAGGGATTTACATGCACTGGTTTCATCCATGTATCACCTGAGATCCTCTGGATCTGTCCATTAGCTCCATGGACTTGGTGGGCTGCAGAGGTTGCTGCGAAGCTCCCCTTACCCAAGGGTTAGGTGGGCAAGCATGCGCTTGCCCTCTCACCCTCTGGAAACTGGAGAAGTCCTCGATACCTTTCAATGAAGAAAAAATGTTTAAAAAACTCCCACCTTTGCTTTTGGTAGCATTTTTTCCAGTTTGGATGGATCTGTGCAGTGGCATGCAGTGCTCAGAGCTATGATGGGGAGTACTCGCATTTATGTTTGTCTGGTCCCATCTACATCAGCAAGCTCTTGAAATGTAGCCTACCTGTCATATCTGGTCAGGCTGGGAAACTTAGCTTTAGACATTTTTTGTTTGTTTACAAGTGATCTTGGCCACAGAGAGGGACACACAGCTGGTGGCCTCTGCACGGCTCCATGATCAGGCTGAGGCTGGGCTTGGAGCTGACAAAGTCTGGAGTGGGGCTAAGCAATTCCAGCTTATACTTGGCTTCATTTGGAGGTGCATTGGAGCGGCTGCGAAGCTGCTCCCTCCTTCCACGGGTTGGTGTGTCAGGGCCCAGTTGGGTTTGCCTTCATGGACAGCAGCAACCATCACCTGTCTGCCATGGCAATAGATGCCTCTGCTTGCTCCAGATGTCCTTCTCCTGCAGACCAGAGAACACCTCTTGCTGTGAGTTATAACTTGTAATATAAATACAAATATAGGTATTGTTCTTCCTCCATTAGTTGTAATAGCAGTAGGCAGGGTGGTAGACGTGTGTGTATGAAGGCCTAGTCTCTCGGAGAGGGTTTTAAAAGTGGCTTTTACGAGATGTTCATGTGCCAGTGTGGTTCGTGCTGGTTGCAGGGACCCGTGTGAGTGGCTATTGGCACAGCTCAAGGAGATATGACACAGTGGACATTTCTAATGATACTGATATGCTGTGTGCCATCCTTGAACTTCAGAAGACCTATGCTGGGGATCAGGGAGAAGGAGCAGTGCCAGCCCATCGATACTGCAAACCAATGTTGTGGCAGTGCTTCCCTGCAGCAGCATCATGATAAAGGATGATGGAGGAGGAGGCTGGCAAAAGCTGTGACCTTCCAGCAGGATCTGTTTCCCAAACATGGGTTAAACAGTAGCAGACTGCTGCAGGTGTGGGCATGGAGGAACCTGTTAAATTAAAGCCAAAGTGTAAGAGGAGAGATGTTTGCTTTGGAAGATAATGTACCTGTTCTGTGCGCTGAGGGTGAGGAAACTCTCCAAGACGTGTTTTACTTCATTACCACAGTAGATCTTTTGCACTGCAAGGCCGCATAGCTCCCAGTTCTCCCCTCCCTTCCCCCCTTCCCTTGTAAGACCAGGGGCCTCCCTCAGCTTTACCAGTGCCTCCAATCCGACAACCCAGAAGCCTGGGTAGTAATAGGTGGTAATTGCTCCTTTTTCTCCATCAGTACATCTCACTGGGGAGCTTCCCTGACCACACTGCCCAAGTTTGCTGCCTGAACTGATGTTGTTTTTAATATGCCCAGGTCTCCAGTACCTGCAGCCTGGTCAGTGGCTGGAGATGAGGGAAAGGAGCTCAGCAAAGAGCCCTTTGATGAGGCTGCTCTATGGAGCCAGCTTTGTTATCTGCCTTGCTGCTGGTCTCAGAGAGACTGCAGGGAAATCTGCTGATTTATTTTCTTAAATGGCATCAAATTATGGCAGTTAAGAGCCTACCAGGAGAAAATGGGCTCTTAGGGCAGCATTTCTTGTCTTGTGTACAAGGGTTTATTGAATTAACTTTGTACTAGAACCACTTTACACTTCCTTTGCTGGAGAGGCTGATCTAACTTAACTGTGGGATAAAATTTAACAACCATATTTTTGTTACACAGGTGACGTGCATAAAGAATTCTTTACATGCATTAATATCATCTGAGTTTTGGCAAGGCCATAAAGCAGGCTGTCTCTCAATCATCTTATCTCTATCTTAATGCTGCAGTCATCCCTGTGTTAAGTATGTAACTCTCTTGCTTTGCTTCTTATTTTCCACATTAGGGACAGTGGATTTTCTCTCCCACACGCACTTTGCAAATGTTCAGGTTCTGTGAGAGAAATCTCTGGCGCTACTGTCGCTGTCCAAGCCATGCCTTTTGCCTCTGTGGGTACCTGCAGCTTGGCAGCTCCAGCTGGGCAGCAGCACTGCCCACCTGCACAACAGAATCTTGCATAATTTCAGCTACTTCTCCATTATTTGCACATAAAGTTAATAACTGACTCAAGAGTTCATCTACAAATACATATTTAGGGCTGCTCTTGGTAAATTTTTCCCCTCTCAGCCACAAAGCTCTTGTTTTCTGCTATTTCCTTCCTCTATTTTCCCTTGACCCTAATCCACTGTAACATTAACATGTTAGTTTTGAAACAGCCAATGTATTCTCAGTCTCTTCTTCTCCCTTACCTGCTGATTATTTCTCTTTTTTTCTCACTCTTCTTTATACTTTCGCTGTTTGCAAAAACCAGATTTTCTCCTCCCCCTCCCTCTTCACAGCTCCCACCATCTGTCTCTCTACAAATACAAAGCTTTAGGGGAAATGATTCACTAGGCTGGTAGCTCATTACTCACACTCTCCCCATCATGGTTTCTGTCCTTGTAGGATGCTCTAACTAATGTAAAGATCAATGAATCCCGGGAATTGTTATTTGATTAAAAAAAAAAAAGCCCCAGCAGTTAAATAGATTGGGCTCTTTGTACTTCCTAAACACCAAAGCATAGTTTTTCTTCCTCACTCTGCTTACACTGTTTTTCAGAAAAGGAACATTGAAACAGAAGAATAGAAATAATCACTGGACCATTTAATGTAACCTTGTGTATCACGTGATGCAGGAGTTACTTAATGAAATTCCCTGGCCCAAACCAAGCAAATCTGTGGTAAATCTAGAGCACATTTTTTCGGATGACAGCCAAAATGATGAAAGGAATTTACTACCCGGCCTCGCTAATCATTTTGAATGCTTAACTGGGCTCCCTAATATGCTGCTTTGCAAGCAGCAAAACTTATACATCCTCATTCCCTACACATTTCTCCAGCCTTCCCCAGGCTGTGCACCTGAAAAAACCTCCCAGCACCCTGCCAGCCCTGTCCAGGGGCAGGGTGGCCAGCTGTGCCTGCTGTGAGTGCTGGATGGCCAGCTGCCCACCTCTGGGAAGAGACCTCTGCAGGCCCGAACCTCTGCTGCCTCTCCCTTCAAAGCATGTGGGTTTGGGACTTGCTCTTTGCTCAGGTAATTATTACCATGAAATCCGTAGGCACTTGGTATCTTTGAGCTCTCCCTGTTAAATGTGGCAGAAATTGGCTAATGGGCGCAGAAGCCATTTCAGACAAACTAGTTCACAGTGTTAAAATGTTTCAGATACCTTAAAATACCAGAGGCAGCCATATTGAGTTGGCAGATGTGCCATAGCCTTTCAGAAGATTTGCTCAACCTAGAGGCTGAGCTCAATGCTCAGGGTACTCCAGGTAACTGTAAATGGTGATGATCAGGTATGCACATCCCACTCCTTTTGTCTTCATTTTGTTGACCATGTGAGATGGATTTCTGTCATGACTTTAGGCTTCTCACCGTATACTAAAAAGTTATTTTCTTAATTGGAAGCTTAGTTTTTCAATTTATCACGTGAAAAACAGACCTCCCTTCCCCGCATGCAAGTAGATGCCAAGAAGTACCACCACCTAACACAGTTTTATTGTGCTTTGTCAGGAAGCTGCCGGCATGGCAGGTATTAGCCTATTCCAGTTGCTGAGCTTCCCTTTTGAAATTGGAGTTGTAAGAAGCACAGACAATACCACAATCAAAATTATAGGAGTTGGCAACACTGAATGCACCCTTCTACTAGTTCCCTTAAATGGCTGCAACTCTTTATGCAAAAGGAAGGTCTGAGTTTAAATTTCTCCTTTATGAGCACCACAAGGCACATCCTGCATCAACACACCATGCTGGCATCACCTTCATGGAAAGCTAATTAAATAATTTGGATACTGTAAGAGGAATATAAACTTCTGGGCTAATTTACTTTGCAGACTACCGAATACATGTAGTTTTTTATAAAGCTGTGCTTGGGTCATTTTGTGACAAATAATAAAGCTGATGAGGATCTTGGTGAGAGCCTGCATTGAGCAGGCATGAAGCGCTCTGGTGTCAGAGCAAGACATTATTGTGCGACTGCTCTAAAGAATAAGGGCTGCAGAATTTCAAGCCAATTGTCCACTGTTACCTCAGTAAGGTTAAGGCTGTTTAAAAAACAAAGACTCCTCACCAAAGTCATGGTCATGTGCTCTGTAAAAAAATGTTCAAATTTTAGCAGACGTGATGTTGTTGAGCCTTCCTGGTTGCCAACACCCTGTGGCTCTCCATCTTTGATTATTTTATTGTTCTATACTGCATACAAGTTGTAGGAGTCAATGTTCTTTCTCTTAACAATTGCTGGCTTTCCAAGCGCCAATTGTCCTTTGACATGGTCTGTTTTAAATAAGGGCTGAAGAGCACTAATGAACCTAAAGGGCTGCTACAAAAAATACTGCAGTGTTCCATGGCACTGAGAGCACACATGTAGCCATGCATTTAGGTCTCCTGTTCTGGACTATTGCTGCAACACACTGCAGGTGTGAGGGACTCAGCTGTAAGGAAAGGGAACTCCAGAGATTTCAGATCTGAAAGTCCTCTAATTGAAGACAAGTGTCTTTATGCAAGACAGGCTAAGGAAAACTTGCGTTATCCAACCCATTTCTCCCTTGTTCCCAGCAATAATAAAAGCAGACACAATATATAAGGTGCCTTAAAAAGGCAAATATTTAATAGTGTATATACAAATTAATGGTTTGATAATGCTATACAAGGCAGGAATATCTTTAAAGAAACCCTGAGCAAAAAGGAGAATGTAATTTTTATTTTACTCTTATTGCAGCATTATTTCTGGTATTTGTTTGCTATTATGACTAATAAAGGAATATGTTAAAAACAGATGTTAAAATAAAACTGGGCATTCTTTCCACTTGCAGCTTATTTAAAAATCTGGAGAAAAGAGTTCTGCCCCATCAGCTTTGGAAATAGTTGTTTAACATGGTAGAGAACAAGCTGAGCCTGCGTAACCCAAGACAACCAATTCCTTTAGCAGAAAGAGTATCTTCTGTCATCAAAAAGAGCCATCTGGAAGAGCGTTGGCTCCCTGCCAGGAACAACCCGTTAGCAACTGCTCAACATGCACTTTAAGTTATAATGTTCATAACGGCACAACCTGGAGTGTTGGTAAAGGGCCTATTGGAGGAGCAACGTATTCCTCCTCCCGCAGTAACCGCAAAAGGATGTTCTTCTTATTCTTTGGCCAGTTATAAATGTGGGTGTTCTGCAGCCAGGTAGGCACGTGTTCCTGAAAAAATAAGGAAATAAACACTAAATCCTGTAAATCCTCCTGAATCTGTACCAGAACCTTGCAGATTCTGTCAGGCCCTGCCAAGCAAGATTTCATTTTGTCTGTTCTAGGCACTTCCCGTAACAACAAGAAATTTTAATTTGGCTTCAGAATTGTATTTGGGTTCCTAAATAAATGAACTTTGTGTGATCTCACAGCTTGCCTGTCTCTCTTTCTCTTCTGCCATCATGTTGGCTAATTTCACCACATTTCAAAGGAAATCTGATCTCAGTGACAGGCATCAAAACACTTGTGAAAATAAACATTGAGAAGAGAAGGGAGACATTTCAGTGTCCTGTGCAGGGAAAGGCTGCCACCTTAGTAGCTGCTAAAGGATCCACACAACATGTTCAACCATGGAGTGAGAATCAATAGGGAAAGAGTGGGACCGCATGGGAGCATTTCACATCTTGGTAGCCCTCTCACCCTCCCCTTGCACCTTCCTTCACCAAGCATGGTGTTCTCTGACCACCTCCTGAGCAGGAGGTTGAGGCCAATGCTGAGCTTGAGGAGAGACTAATGCATCTCCAGATTTAGTAGGGTCAAACCTCCACCACTCCTTGCACCCTGGGAAAGGTGCAGTCTTTCATAGGGGTTGGCTAATGCCCATTAACATAATGAAGCCGGGACCACAATGGCCCTAGAGAGTGATAGCAGGCTGATGGAGAGAGACCCACTCAGACTTCATGTTTGCATGTTTCCACAGCCTTGTGAGGTTTCCATATGGACAGCCTGGATGTTTAGGGGTGAAGGGCTATTATGATACCACTAATTAACAGACAGACTGATCCTTGAGCAAAACCAGCTCATGGTCACCATGAGATGTAGATTTCTTTTGGAGAGCTGAAGTTAAAGACATCAGAACACAGCCAAAGTGAGAAAGGAGGTAAGCAACACGAGCAGCCAGGACATCCAGCACTTGCTCCCTGGACCTCTCATTTAGCAAGGCAGTGTTTTCCCAAGGTGGCTCCTGTTAGGAGCAGCACAGTTCCTGTCAAGGCAGTGGAGCTGGCTCCAATAGGACAGAACAAAAAGATGCTGGTGTGAACCACATCTCTGGCACCTCGCCAGGGGATGCCCTGGCATGGGCAGCACATGTTCTGCCTGCCAGCAAACAATCTAGCTGCAGTCCAAATCCTTCTTTCCCAAGCATCGTGCTTCTCAAATTGGATGTGTTTTCCTTGGCCTGCACAGCTGTAGGAATGAAGCTGCATCGCTTTCCCTGCTCAGGGAGCAGTTTGTGTTAACTGTTGCAACCACTTTGTTAGATCTATAGCATTTATGTATAGGAAGAAAGAGGTAAGTCACACAGGCACCTACACACCCATTAGTCTGAACTCACCTAGGCCTCTGACAAGCAGCTTTGTGAGTAGCAGAGGTATCTATCAAGCCTGACCTTCCTCTTCCTCCAGTGTTCAAGAAAGTATAGGCTTTGGTCAATGCTCTCCCTAAAGTGGAGGTTTTAAACCAGGTGAACAGCTCAGTGTGAGGCAAGATCCCACAGCATTCCCTTTGTTAGGAGAACAAATAAGATTTCTTGCCTCCACCTGCTAGGGTTTTTTTTGCATAGGAATGGATTTTAGTCTTTGTGAATTGTACTCTTTTGACAAAGCTCCTTGGAATTGGCCAAGACATTCAAATGTTACTGGGAGAAAAAAAGATGACTATGTTTGCATGCATGTGCATACCATTGTTACATGAAATTTGTTTCTTTACTAAATCTTGTTAAGAGCTACGGAAGGAAATGCAATGAAATACAGCAAGCATTTACCAAAGAGCCCTCTCTCTATCTTTGATAAGAAACTACAATTTTTTGAGGAAGGAAATGCATTTGATATAGTTGGTCTGGACTTCAGAAAAAGATTTGATATAGGTCCATATGAGAAATCATTAGTTAAGATGAAAATTAGTGTGGGAAATATGTTATAGGTAAGAAACCAGTAAGTGGGGATATAATGAGAGAGGCACTATACATTCAGAGATAGACTCCACACCTTTCTTCCAGATCTGCTCCTGCAGTTTCATTTAATATCCTCCATAATGAAGTCAGTGCAAAAAGCACCTGCACATTAATCAGTAATTTTAACTCGATGAAGGTGTGTAGAGGTAAAGGGGTAACTATAGCTGCTATTTTTACCCAGGGGAGCAGGGAGAGAGAAAAAGGGGCTTTTCCTTGCCATATGACACCTGTCATTACAGGTGGGAGTAATGGGAAAATGGTTTACTGTCCTTTAAATTCTTTTAACTTGGCTATGTATCTGTAAGCTGAGAGGAAATTCTCTCTATGCCATAGAAAGAGTATTTGTAACTCTGAGGATCAAACTGGTAGGAAGAGGGCAGAGTGTATTAGTGCAGAGGGCAGGACTGTTTAGGGCTATGACAGCAGAGCGTAGTTTGAGATGTCCTGGCTTCCCTGGCACCAACCCTGTTCATCTCACCCCTCCAGCTGCTTCCACTCTGCCAGAGATAGCCTTCAGCATGGGGCAGTCATGGCTTAATGGTCATCAGGTGGCCAGATGAAGACATATTTCTGTGGATTGCTGCGATGCAAACCTTGAACCAGCAAGACTCATGTCTCCTTTAGCAGTGTACGATGGGAAACTGGAAATCCCAGTTCTACCTTGTGTGTTGTGCTTTTGCCCCCTCATTATTCAGTTTCCTAATGAACGCTCCTTGGATCACATAGATCTCTTCCTGTTGGAGGTCGAATAATTTTCACATACCAGCAGTGCTTTATGATGTGCTTTGTATGAGATTAACTCATCTAATAGCCACATCCCCAGATGAAACCTCAAAACCTCCATTTTCTGCTCTCTTCCCCTGCTACTTGAACATATAAAACACAGTATAAAAGACAAAATTGAAATAATTTGCCCACCAACACCATCCAATTGTACATATACTTGGCATTTTTTCAGGTACTTCACTTTCTCTGACTGCCTATGGATTTCATTACTGCAGCTTGTTCAGGCTCTGGTGCTCTCTTTCCACCCATGATGTCCTCAGTTACATTATCATTAACTAGCTGGATGAAGGTAGGTGTTGTAGCAAAGAAATACGTGGAGAAAGAGAGCAAAGCTTAATGGCAGTAAAAAATTCTGATCTGCATAATGTAATGAGAAAGGCACCTCTCAAAAAACTGAAGGGTGATGTGGACAACAGAGGAGAGGCAGGAAGGATGCCTGGAGCCTGTTGCTTTGATAGAGGCAGCTGGATAAACCAACCCTGGAAATTCCTTATAGATCTCTGTCTGACAGAATCACTGCTATATGCTAAATAGTCTTCCAATAAATAATGTTCAGCCAAAATTAACATAACTTATTGTTCTATCTCAAAGCCCAAAGGCAGCTACAGTGTCTCCTGGGACACTTCTCTCTGCAACAGGGTGTAGGGTCTGTTCATGTGGTGGGTACTAAAGTAGCCCCAAGGTTAGGAGCCATCCTGCCCTTTCCACCCAATCAAGCTGCAATGACTGAGTGAAAATGCTGACTGGTTCCCTGCCTTTGGTCTGCACAATTCCCACCAGTGGTGTCTCCCAGCTTTTCACACTTAAGATAAGTACCAGACTGAGACCATTCAGGAAGGGATTACATGAAATACCAGAGGTACTGTTCATTCCAAAAGACCTCACATATTTTAAAAACCCAGGGATGTATTTTCAAATTTCCGAGCTTAAATTGGTGCCTAAATAATTTTATTACAGTAAAATCCAGAAGTGCAGTGGGACTTCACAGTGGGACCTAACACTGTTTAAATTTTGACCGACGTTCCAAAATCTTGTCACACAAGGAAATATAAAGAAATTTCCACACTTGTCCAAAGTGCAGCCGTACCTACCTAGGGGTAGCATGACAGCTACCCAATAGTGCACACAGCATTTAGTTATGAAAAGTGAACATGAATACAGTGCATGAGATTGGGCAAGAACGCTATTTCTCAACTATAACTGAAGTCATTTAATTTTTCTGGCCTTGTAAAAATTCAAGAGATTCTCTCAGAGTGAGGTAGAATCTGTTGCATTACTTATTTCTTATTCTCAAATGGATCTTCAAAACAAGTAAGGAGGGCAGATGAAATTGAAAGTCCTAAAAAATCTTATAGTTTGCCTTTGATGGGCCCATCAAAGTTCAAGAACAGCCTAGTACTTTAATATTTATTATACTCTTTATTTTTATATTCTCAATCCACCCTTTTCCAGATCCTCACTTCACATCAGTCATAAATCTTGCCCATCTCACTCATCGGCATTACATCTGGACAAAATTATAAAAGGGTTAATATAAAAAGCAGGCTTCCTGGATAGATTGTCTTTCTCCATTTAAATTCTTTCAATGCTAAAGGCAATTTGAGTTTTATTGTACTGTCATCATCAGAAATACATTTATGTGCTGATTTATATTGTGGATGAAATAGTTTTTATTTGTATGTACATAAAACTTTAAACTTTTAATGTAAAATGGAGCTTTGGAATATTACTAGTGGGATATTAAGAACCAAGAAATTGAGCGGTTTAGTTTTAAGATTTCACCTGGTGCCTTGTGATCAAAATAATAAGTACTTAATCATGCAACAAGTTTATAAGCATGCATGTATTTTACCTTTTTGGCATTTGGAAAAAGCACAGGGATGAATCTGAAGTTCATACTTCCTTGCTGTATAAACTCGATCTGCATCTAGAATAGAACAAAATGCCAGTTTTATTGTAACGCCGTGATAATTTTTCTTTGCATGCATCGGAACCCTATGTGTAAAAGCATTTGTTGCTTGCTTAAACTGCTCTTCTGTTAAGTGATTTGATCTATCGCTGGTGGACTCAGTTTGGTTTGGCCAGTTAATCTGATTCTTCATTACTACAGAAATGATATAGGAAAGATGTCAGCCTTTTTTGAGCATTTAGTTCTGTGGTATGAAATAAATATGGGTTTAGCTGCAGTTGCAATCCCACAAAATCCATCTCTAACTGATGAAGCTTGACTTGACTAAGGCCCCTGTTCAGTCTCCAACAGGGTGAAAGACTTCAGCCAGAGGCCAGGTCTGTGTTCAAGCTAGGACCCAGCCTGTTCCCCATGGCCCTGGACACAGGCATCCCAGGGGTGGTAAGGACAGCAAAATACTGCTGACAGCTTATCTGTCAGTGACAGCTTCTGAGAAGTTTGA